CATCTTTTATTGTAGACAGTAGAGTACTGGCTCTTGTACATGTAAAAATAAAAAAGTATCATCACTCTTTATATGTTTATATGGAAAAGTACTTTTCCTCGAATTCTTATGACCATTTCTTCCCCTATTGACTTGGCTATGGTCTTTTTGTACTCGTCATGGTCCTCAGTTGATAAGTCTTCCATCTCCACTGCCTTTAGGTTATTGAAGAGAACAGAAGCAGAATCACCAAATAGTGAAAGCCAAACAGAAGATGTATCATCTGCTATTGACGCAGACACACTGTAGCTCTGGCTGCAATTTGTGTAAATACGGTCGCACTTGCTGCAGTAGTAGTTTTCTGGTGACTCTGCCGGGTGCTCCACTTTCTTATTACAATTATCCATTGGGCATGATGGGTACATAACGCTTTTCTCTGATATATAGAGAATTGTGCACTTGACTGTCGCATACTCCATCCCATTTGCCTTAACTTCTTCCAGTTTTGTTTTCTGTCTCTCCCTTCCAACTGACTTTCTTGGTTCTGCAACTGAAAAGTTTCCTTCATTCTTGTTGTACCATCCCTTCAGCTTAAACACTTCTGGCAGCTCAGGATTGAAAGATATAATTCCATCTCGTGCCATGCCAATTTGCGGCATATTTTGGTACTCGCTCACTCGGACATTCTCCAATAGCAAGACATCTCCGACTGAAAAGTCCATATCTGCAGTTTCTTCCCACAGAACAAACGGAACTGCCTCTCCTGAGTCATCCCCTACTTTTAGGGTCCTTTTCTTCATAGTGGCCTGGTCCTTCTTTCTGATCACTGTCTCAATCTCTCCAACCGTTATTATCACCACAAGAAGAGAAACAACTTCACTCATTTTCTCACGCAGCCTGGAGATTCTTGTCACCATACTTGGCATCTTAACGGCATTTAGCATGTTTTCTGTTGGGGTGATTGTAAATGACCTGTCAACAAATATCTCGTAGTCATGAATATCCTCCACGTATTTTTTGTTTGCCAGCTTTAATGCTCCTCCTGTTATTTCATACGTCTTATATATCTGTATTTTGTCAAAGAATCCATCGACAAACTCAGTAAAGAAGATTATGTTGCACTTGCTCTCTCCGTCTGTCACAATTATGCTGAACACTTTCCCAGCACGACCGTCTTTCATGTACTCGCGAACTGTTGTTTTACTTACTACTTTTGCTTTGATGCTCCATGCCTTCTGCTGGAATGGATTCAGCTCCTTTATACTGCCTATCTTCTTCTCTCCATCTCTTTTTGTGGTTTCTCTGGTTGACATTTCGTCCAATTTTCTTTTGCTTGGGCTTGCCCCAATACTGCTCATGGGTGCCTCTCTTCTGCTGCCTTTTTGCATCTCCAAGATTTCTTTTATGTAAATAACCTTCTTTAAGGAGTATGTCCCAGAGACCATCTCCCCTATTCTTATTATATCTCCTGCTGCTATTTCATTTCTGTTTATGCTCTGTGAATATTTAGAGCTAAGAAGACAGTCTTGCTCTCTTGTGTTGTCTGTCACTGTTAAGCGTATTTTGCTTTGGGTTATCGAGTGATCTGGCTTATGTATATGAAGTATTTTCACCACTAGATCATTGCAGCCCCCTTGTGCTGGGGTAGAATTAAATGCTCTCTCAATGCATCCGGTTGTAATTTCAAGATTTCCTTGGTTAATATTCATGCTGTAGCCAAAAAATAAACTAAATAAATCTAGCAAAATTTGTTGGATATGCAGGATATGAGAGAAATATCTTTGGGACTGCCTTCTTCGCAGTCTCTGGAGGTAGGAGACAAAGTGGTTGTAGATAGAATATACACAGGCACTGTGAAATATATTGGGCGAGTTGGTACAAAAAAGCACAACTGCCTGGGTATTGAGCTAGATACTGCGAATGGCGACAACAATGGAAGCAGGGCCGGACGAGTCTACTTCCAATGCAGGCCAAGACACGGGGTATTCAAGGAGTACCGAGATGTAAAGAAGTACAGGCCACTGGAGTACAACCAGACAGGGATCATTAATACAACCGAAATAGAAGAAGTTCCAAACTCAAATGCTGTGAGTGAGCTACTAGACGACAATGTTCAGATACAAAGAATGCTTGAAGAGCTAAGAAAAGAAAATAAAAATCTGAAAGAAGAAGTTCAGAGAGAAAAAAAAAGAGTATCTCTATTAGAGGATGAAATAAAGCTAAGAAGAGAAAGGGAAAGAATACTAAGCACTACTTCGGATCGGAGTGGGATAGTGTCAATTATATCTGAAATTATAAGCAAAATAAAGGAGAAAATAGAGACTGAGCATCAGATATTCAATATAAATAAACTTTAAAGAAGCGGTCCTTAAGTGTGTATTTACTATATTTAAAGTGTGTTATTTTTACTGCTTTCTTGTGTCTCTTCTACTTTCTCTTTTATTTTCTGCAGAATTGACTCTATGTATGCAAGAGACCCAGATATATTTACTATGGTATAATTGTCATTTATGTCTGTTGTTTTTATGCTGTGCTGGGCTAGAAGGTCACTCAGTGAAAGAAGGGAGTCCTTTCTGATTATTAACTGGTTTCTGTACACTGTTATGTCCATACAGTAGAGAATAAAAAATAAACAGAAAAGGTCTTTCATGTGGTAATGTGCTAGGTTAGAGTGCATAATTGTATTCATATTATATATGATAAAGATAAAGACATCAGCCCATGTAGTATTATGTGCTAAGAATATACATATAGACGGTAATATATGACTGTAATATACATGTGTAATATATGACTGTAATAGTTGTTGTAGAATGGTAGTGAAATGGTAGTAGAATTTAGAAATTGCCTGATGTATATAGATATAGAGTATGAGTTAATTTGCCTGATTTATATATGGTATGAGTTAATTTTAAGCAATTATTCTTGTAATTATTCTACACTAATTCGGGTTATATGTGCTAGTTTAAAGAAAGAGTCTATACTGAGTACTAAGAAAAATAAACACTTCACGCTAAAAATAAACTATTGAAGAGTTTTAATTTTTTGCAGAAGAAGTATGCTCATACGAAAAACAGACTATAAAGACTATACGTTCAAAAATTAGACATTTATTTAAACATATATGATATTATACCTATTAGTATCACCATATATTATGTTTATATACCTATTTCATACTACTTTGGCTTGTGCTTTGATCAAGATTTCCTATTTCTTCTGACCCACTTATTGCCGCTTCATCTGCCTCCTCGCTATTCTTATTCTTCCTTTTTCCTAGGATGGATTTTATTGCGCCTTTCATCAAACCTTTGGTTTTCTTCTTCTTCGATTTATCTTTCGTTGTTGTCACACCATCCGAGTTATTATCACTGAGTCCAGCTTCTGCTGAACTTTCTTGTACATTTTCAGCTGACGTGTAGTCATATGGATCTACTTCAACTAAATCAATATCTTTCTCATTTTTCTCAATTACTGGATATAGATTTTTCTCAAGTATTGGATATAGATTGTTCTCAATTACTGGATATAGATTTTTCTCAAGTAAACTTTCTTCTGGTGCACTTGGGGTAGGTATATTTTTTCTTAGTGCAGGAACTGGGGCATTTATATTAAGATTGGCTTTCTCCAAATCGAATGTTACAGATCTGCCTTTTGGATTTGCAGGATTCCCTGGTGTTATCTTTGTTTCAGAAGCATCATTCAAGGGTTTAAGTTCATTTTTATATCTCTGCGAAATCTTAGATGCATCAGTATAAAAATCTTCTCCTAATTGATTGGTTTTTGGAGTTGGAGTAGATTCTTCTTGATTTGGGTACAAAATGTTCCCAAAATCACATGTTACATTTGTTCTAATCCCAAAAGGTTCACCTCCTAGGTCAAATCTAACGGAATTTAGATTGTGACTATTACTTGGAATTTCTAGATTCCAGCTGCTTTGAGGAAGCACTTTCTCAATTGGCCCATGAATTAATGGAGGATGCTCATTGGAATCCGGCTGTCCAGTGTATGCAGGAGGGGGTGATAAACGCTCTGGCTGGTTATTTGAGTTAGTGGTTGGTGTTGTCTCTGGAGCAGAAGTTGAGGCTACCGCCTTTCGCACTGAGGTTGAAGCTGCTGCTATTGGTACATCACATGAAGTCACTGCCTTTGAGGCTGCTGCCTTTGGTACACCACATGAAGCTACAGCCTTTCGCACTGAAGTTGAAGCTACAGTCTTTCGAGCAGAAGTTGAAGTCACTGACTTTCGGGTACGAGTAAGTTTTTTTCGTGGAATAGGAACATCTAGATATCTATATCCATCAAAAATAATATAGCCATCTGGTGAATAAATCTTTCTTCTCTTATTCTTCGGCAAAGCCTTTATTATACAGCGCTTTGGACGTGTATTGGGAGTTTCAGAAGTTGCTTGATCTTGTATGGTAGATGGGTTTTCTTCCTCATTTACTTCTTCTTCTGATGATTCTTCCTCTGATGATTCTTCCTCATATTCTTCCTCCTCTTCTACCTCTTCATCACCATTCTGTGAATTAGTTGCATCTTCTACATCCAAAAGGGATTTCATAGTATAAGTATTAAGAGTGGGATTCTCTTTTATATTTCTAATGTTGGGTAGGGTAGAAATATTTATAGCCAGAATGTCTTCAAAATTAGATTCAATCTCTTTTGCTTCAATATCACACTGTGTCTTTGGTATTCTGTTGCTGAATTCATCTACTTTATTCAATTGCAACAATTCTGGATCGGAACCACAATTATCATCTTCATGGATCTCTATGCCAGAATCCATTTTCTCGCATGAACATTCAGCTTCTTCCTTGACTAGGCTAAAATTAGTTTGTAAAACACCATACACATTAAAATTGGTCTGGCTGTTTTCTTCATTGCTGTTTACATCAGCTTCAATTGAGCTCTTTCTCGCTTGAACTGCATCTTTTTTTACATTCAGCTGTCTAGCTTTGCACTCATTTGGCGATGTGGCTGCTTTCTTTTCTTGCTTTATTGTAGGATTTCGCAGAAGATTCCACAGACCTACGACAAAAAGCACTGTTATTGCAGTGGCTGCTACCATTATTATCTTGGGATTCATTTCCTACTTAATTTCTAATAACCATCTACTTATATACCTTTAGTCTTAGAAAGTGACAGATAATTAAAGAATTTCTGGGTGTATATTAAACTATACATCTCTACATGTCACTGTAAAGATGGTTCCATTGCCATATATTCCATGTCTATACAGAATAGATCTTATTTACATTGATTTCAATGTGATATTGTGCTTATTTATGGCATATATTGGCAATAATAACAACAAAACAATGGTGTTTATCAACAAAAATATGACACTAATTAACTAGTTTGTTTGTTTTGATAAGTGTTAAAGTTAAATTAAAGACCAGACTATTTAAAGAATTGAGTTCTCAAATAAATACTAGAGTTTGACAATGACTACTTTTAAGAATTCAAGACCATTAATCTATTGAATTTGACAGACACAGTCTTTAGGCACTATATGAAAATATTCTTAGAAGCACCTGCATTACGGAAGCACAAAGAATGAGGCTGTAGTAGGAAACTTGCAAGAAATTCTCTGTTAGATAAATATGCATGACTGATGGGAAGTTAAAGAGAGTTTTAGGAAATAAATGACAAGAGTAGTAACTCAAGAAGAATAACTTCAATTATTTTATTCTAGCACTCTATAAATTATTCCTGCACTTAAGACAAAAAGATAATTGCCTTACAGCTAGATACCAACAGGTCTCTATGCCTAGCAGTCAGTTAATCTAGCATATAATAGAGAGTTATAGTAGCATACTTGTCTTCTTACTAGAAGTAATCTGGGTCTATATGCTTATGCTATATTCTGTTCCTTTGTATCAGAGACTATTTCTCTTTTTGCGATATGTAAACAGGAATATCGTTAAGAAGAACAAGAATTACTGGAGTATTGTTAATAACCACATGGTGCTCTTTGCTGAAGGCACAGTTTAGCACTAAAACATGTGGAAGGGTTTGCATGATAAATCGATCAGTTTCCATAGGCATTGCAGGGCAGCTGTAGGGAGAGAGTGGAGAAAGATGCATATTCTTTAGAAGAATCATCATTGCCTTCAAATAGCTTTCTTCAGAGTGGCCCAGATTGTGGTATTTTAGCATACTTGCGATGCTGTTTATATTTACAATTCCTATAGAAAGTCCGTCTACTTTGATGACTGATGGGCTTAGTGCTGCTTCTATGTGCTTCTGTGTAAACTTCTTGTTATTTGGTGTCATATTTAAATCCCACGGAATCATAACCAATGGATTATCCTTGGGTGTTGGCACTAAAACAACTCGATTTGAGACTGAAGTATCTTCCTGCAGAGAGTCAAATAGCACAATAGGAACACTCTTTGGAATATTCTGTATATTCTTTGCATTTGCAGAAAGCAGCAGTGAGTTTGCCCCATCTGCATAATCAAAGGAAGAGTTTTCTATTCTAGAAATAGTCAAGGCAGGCCTGCTAATTCTATTCTCTTTTGCTACATCAGCCTGGTGCACAATTGTGTCTACCACAAAGTGATTTTCATTATTCTTTTCTCCTAGCACTCCTATGACAACTCCATCAACTAGATATTCACTTGTCTCGTCGCTAATTATCAGCTTGATTCTTTCTAGATTTGGGCTCTCAAGGAAGTACTCTGTATTCTCAAGCAGACATCCCAGCATGTTGCTTCTTTCTTCTTCCTTCTGCAGGTTGCTAATTGCACTCTTATTTGCACATTCTTCATAGTATTCATTTTCTATTGGATTTGCACGTATTTCTCTGCTTACTTTACTATAGCTTGCAATTACTTTCTTCTTGGGATATGATATTTCCAGGGTCCCTACTAAGAATATTTTCCCACTGGTTAAGTACCCACAGAAGTGATGTGCATTTTCTTTGCTGTGCTCTATAAGCCCCTGTGACTGGGCATGCCATCTTTTATTGTAGACAGTAGAGTACTGGCTCTTGTACATGTAAAAATAAAAAAGTATCATCACTCTTTATATGTTTATATGGAAAAGTGCTTTGCAGTGTGAATAGTGAAAGAGTGAAAAATACTCTGTTGCCTTTAGTTTGTGCTCTATCAATGTATAATAAACTTACTAATCCTGTAGATTATCTTATATGGGTGATTTTAATTTTAAATTTACGAATGGTAAAATTTGTAATCCTTTCAAACAGTGTATTTGAAAGCTTTGAAATATAAAAATATTTTTGTATGCTGCAGGTATACACAGTGGCTGTAATAATTGGCTTTAGAAAGAAATATATTCGAGTTTATTTGAGTGTGTTCAACATTACATTCGATTTATTATTAATATTCCTGGAGAGTATGGTTCTGGCTGATTTTATAATGTGCCAGTGGGATATTTAGGCATGCACCAGGCACTCTTTCTATAAGAGCACTTTAAATCTCCATATACCATTGTTACAGGATTGTGGCTAATCTTACGCTATATTACTGCATTTCTTTCATCTATTTTACTTCATATCTTTTCTCAATTACCTCTGCCCCATTGACCACTAGCTTTATTACTGAGCCACTTCCTATTTTAACATCCATGTCGTCTTTCTTTATGTATCTTATTACTCCTTTGAGCAGGCTTATGTCTCCAACCAAAAGAGACTTCTCCATTCTTTCAACCATTGAGACTATTTGCGCCACATTAAGGCCTCTGTCTATTTCTGTTATGTTTATGGACCTTCCTGTTGAGAGCTTGTACTTGTTGCCTTCCTTGCTTACAGAGTGCTTAGACTTCACTTGTATTACGTTGACTATGTTATATGTATGCAGAATATTTGCAATGTTCAGCTTACTGTACAGATAGAGCGTGTATTTGCTCTTTAGACTTGCAAGCAGCTTTTTGATGTTCTCAAGAACTGCAGATTCTTCCATATAGAATATGTTATATCCTATGTTTAGAACACACAAATTACTGTAGCGAGTAAGCAAGTACAGCTTATGGACTATTTTGTGCTTTTGGCAGCTGATCAGATTTCTTTTAATGTTGTTCAACAGAACAATAAGCTTTTCCTTGTAGTTCTTGCAGTTATTATACATAGTATAGTAGTTTGTGTTATTTGGGGAAGATTGTGTTTCAATCTCTATTCTTCTATCATAATATGCCAGATCTGGGGAGCCAGGCACTAGAGAGTCATTTACGACTAGAATGTATTTTGTGTCAATTGTGTACTCTTCTGTGTAGTAGTCTTCTCGTCTGTACTCAATATCTGTTATCATAATGACATTCTTGCTCTTGGAGAGTTCTATAAAGTATTCTCGGCACTTTAGCTCATTTGGAGAGACCCCGTTGAAAGTTGGGTTCATCAAGGAAATCGCAAGACCATCCATTTCCAGGCAACTTATTGAATATTCCTTCTGTAAGATGTACTTGAAAGACTTGCACAGATACGTTGCAATTTCGTCTTTTATGCCTTCAATTATTATTACTACTTCTGACATAAAATGAAAATGAAAATATTCCCGATTAATGCTGTTCAGAGCATAAACCCAGAGACACTAGAAAAAGTGCTGGACACAACAGAAGAAGTCATTATATTTGACAAGGTATATAAGAGGTACCAGATGAGAATAGATGAGCCAGCAGAAGTGTTCATAGAGGAAGGAGAAACTAACCTATTTCTTACGTTTATGAAGGATCTTGGGGTAATTGGATGAAGTTCTGAGTGAAATAAATATGCAGAAGTAATAGTACGGTGAAAGCAAAATAATTTCTCTATTTTTTATGAATGGCTACGAGACACTGCTGCACTTTCTTAACAAGAAGATAACCATCCTAGTAAAGTGTAATGGTGAGATGGAAAGGGTTTCAGGAAAACTGCAAGGATTTGATGAGCATATGAATGTCTTGCTATGCAGTAAAAGCAGCACAGTGTTGTATTTAACAAAGCACATCATAGAATACATTCTACCAAGAGAGAATCATTCATAAGATGTGAATACCATGCATTGTATCTGGCTTAGCAGAGAGTTAATTAAACACATAGATATTATTAATGAAATTATGTATAGACACTCTTAAGGGAATATAGTAGATATAATTGCTGAAATAGTCAGAGACCCATTTATATATAGAAAGAGAACTTCTTATTTGTTCATACTTCAGAGCAGACTTCTTTTCTTGTTTTTGTTCTCTCCAAATAACTCAAGTTATTTTCACTGTTTTATTAAAGAGAGTTATATTTATAGAATTATGGAACATCTAGTGCACTAGCAAGGACTTACATTAGATCGTATAAAGAAGGTGTTTAATTGATGCATTGCATAAACAAAAGATCTTAAGCTTAAATAAAGATGTATGTGTATATGAAGTCATACAAAAAGCACATAACCAATGCACTTTGGCTTAATTAATTATTTAATTTGTCTGTCTACACACAAATTGAAAAAATACTATATGTCACCTTACCTTCTTGTATATCACCATGTACACCGTCAGACAGGCATATTTACATCTAAACCCTTTACTCAATATAAACTCAACTGTGCAAGATTGTCTTGTAGCTAAAGCAAATAAACAAATAATGCAGCAGTAGCTCAGAGAAAATTGAAAAGTACACAATAATTCGCACACCTTTGCAATTGGTCAAGACATGCTGATCACTTCCTCTTAGACTCAATCACATACAGTTATTCTGTAGAGTAGTAGTAGGACCGGTCTGCTATAGCCAGAGCACTGTGTTTCAGTGAGAAGAAAAAACAAAGCGTGCTACTTTTAATTCTGCATACTCTAAGGGGATTTGTTTGGTATTCTTATATGATGAAACATAAGTATGACTGAAATATAGACAATTAATATGTAAGTACAATGAAATTCTTCTTTGAGTAAGCACTTGGGTGCAGTATACTAAGTATGTATGGCTAGTTGGAATGAATAAAATTTTTAAGAACTCCTATTCGATCAGTTACAGTTTCCCGCCTTTAAAATGCGCGGGAAACAGGAGCCAATAGAAATTGGAGGGCAGGCCAACCAAATGAGAGAGTAGGGCCAGGCAGGCGGACAGGCCCCCATTGAATAGCAGAGAAACCTGGAAAGTGAAATACAAATATTGGAAAGATAATTAAATTTACAAAATAAATAGAATCCCAAATTACGCATAGTTCTTTTTATTGTTCCAGACTTGGATTGCGCTTATTTTTTATTTATGATTCTTGTAAAACACCCCCCTGTAAAATGGCGAGAACAAAGCAGACAGCAAGAAAAAGCACTGGAGGAAAAGCACCAAGAAAACAGCTGGCAACTAAAGCAGCAAAGAAGAGCACAACACCCGCAGTAGGTGGAAGCATTAAAAGGCCCCACAGGTACAGAGCCGGAACAGTAGCCCTTAAAGAAATCCGAAGGTACCAAAAAACCACTGAGCTTCTCATAAGAAAGCAACCTTTCCAGAGAATGGTAAGAGGTATATGCCAAGACTTTAAGTCAGATTCAAGATTCCAAGGAAGCGCACTTGCATCTTTACAAGAGGCAACAGAGGCATTCATTATCGGACTGTTTGAAGATGCCAATGACTGTGCTATCCACGGCAGAAGAGTTACTGTAATGCCTAGGGACATACAATTGGCTATGAAAATCCGAGGAAGATACAGACCTTAACTCAATAGTAAAAAGTATCACATTCAATTCTCTATTCTTTTATTACTCTCTTCCTTTTCTATACACTGCTTACTTCTCACATCCACCCAAGAGATATTTATACTGAGACTCTTTAGTGCTCTGTTTGGGCGTACACGGCATCTTTATGGTCGCAGGAAAAGGCAGCAAGCATTATTACAGGCAGAGCAGCATGCAGGCAGGATATTCTGTATATGTTTGTGTCCAGCAGAGTCTAAAGCTATTTCGCATGAGTATCTTTTATTATGCAATAACCCTGTGACTGCAGACAAATTTAGAAATGATCTTCACTAAGCTTGGCAGCAAAATAAGTCACAGGCATAGTATGTATTCAATGGGATAGTGTGTTTAAGGGTTTAAAAGTAGTCAGAGCATGCGGTCAGGTCTACTTGCAGAATATGTATATATTCCTAACTGGGTAGATGCCACTCTTGCTGAATAATGAAAGTGCCTTTAAGATGATCTATGGAATGTTCTTGCTAATTCTTCTATATTTAAATGAATCTGCCTAATACTTTTTGTCCTTGACTGTGAACTTCTGATGCATCTTCTTCAGTAGAATATTGCTGCTATAAATGACGTATAAGCAAAATATACAAAAGACCTCAGTTACTAGGAATAAGACAACATACAAAAGGAATGCTACATGCTGTGTTTATAGTGTAAAAAGAGCCTTAGTGCTAAATAAGTAAGAATAACCATGCAAGAACCTGATTTTATTTTATTTGATGAATCTTGGGTTATGCTAGAGTGGTAGAGAGCATATGGAATGTGCTTGTTATACAAAACTGACTCTCATTAATTGAAGTGCTTTGTATTCCGTATACATAGTTATTTTGGGTATGCCTGCATATACAGTAAGCTCAAATAGACAGCTTATATAGATTAGTGAAGTATTAAAGGGAGTTAATTAAACAATATACTGCATACAAGGAAGTAGATGTAGAACTATGTGATTTAGAACTTAAATGGATTTAATATATGGCATGGCGTATTGGCGGGAAGAATTCTGCTTTTAATTAAAATTAGTAATCCAATAGTAGAGTTATCCTGCATGAAAAGTTCATTTATTTATTTCACTGACCTCTAGTTTTTTGTAGGTCTAGAGCGCACTCTATTATTTAGCTGCAATCGATTGGCTGCTGCATATTTAAACAGATGTACTTTATTATGCAAATACATATTGAATATTATATTGTTTTCAAGGCATTGCAAACAAAAACAATGGGAAAAAAGTGGTAATTTGATCATCCTACATTCTTTGAGTGCTAGTATGTATGTCTTCTATGAAAATACAGTTATGTCTAGTGTAGAAAGATAGTGTATTTGTACTTTATGCCAATAATACTAAAATATGAAATACTGTTGTTTGGAAAACTTGAGTATATGAGATCCAAATAGTATATACATGCATCTATTCAAGAAATAAGAAAAAGGCTTGAGAATATAAAATGTGCGTAAGAATCCAGTTCCTTAGAGTATTTGCTGCAAGGATAAATGAATTGCAGTGAAATTATAGAATACATGAGCGATATATGTTTATTTATGTTTAAGCAATACTTCCTGCTTGCCCAGCAAATCATATATTTAAGCAATACAAAATACAAGACGGGTAGTAGGCACCCATGCCCCATAGAAGAAAATAAATAAGCACATTCTTCTTATTATTGTGCATACATGCAGATTGAGAATTTATATGCACTTGGTCTATCCAATACAGCACCATCCACCTACACTTTCATCTGCTTCTATATTTACTTTGCTTTTTCTTTTCTCTGGTGGAGACACCTTCATTATGGCCTGGGCTATTTCTCTGAACGCATGGTCTACGCCCTCTCCTGTCTTTGCAGATACCTTGCTAAATCCAATTATCATAAGATTGTCTGACGTGTATTTTTCTATGAAGCTAGATATTTCCTCGTCTGAGACAAGAATATTTCCTGTGTCTATTTTGTTTGCCAAAATGTAGATAACTATCTTGCTGTTTATGTTATTGCGAATTTCATTTATCCATCCCTTTAGGTCATTAAAGCTTTCTGGATCTGTGGTGTCAAACACCAGCAAAATCCCATTTGCATTCCTGTAGTAGCTGGATGTGATGGTTCTGAATCTCTCCTGTCCTGCAGTGTCCCACAGCTGCAGCTTCACCACTTTGTCATCTACTGTGATGTTTTTCATCTTGAAGTCCACGCCAATTGTTGTCCCGTATGTTTCTTTATAAATGCTGTCTGTGTAGCGCAGCAGTATGCATGTTTTCCCTACACCACTACTTCCTACCACTAGAATCTTAAATAAGGCATATTCTTCATGCATATATTACATGAAAATAAAAAAAATATTTATAGCTGTTACTGATGCAGAGATACCCCGTGCGTGCATATATGTATGAAAGACGAAAGTGTCTATGCAGATTGCGCAAATGGGTTCTATTCAGGCAGAAAGTGCTTATTTTTATAGGAAACTCTTTTTTGCTATTTATTAAAAACTTCACTTTCTTAAACAGTCTTGGCATAGACTTAGAAGTTATTTTTAAGCTTCAAATAATTTCTGAAGAGAGTATAGTGCAATTGTAGTTTAAGCTGCAGTATTCGGGCTATATCGTAAATGGTTAAAGATATTTGCTGTAGTTATTATCTTGTATGTAAAGGAGTAATGTTATCATGCCATAAAGTATACTGGCAGATGCTGAAATTTCCTAGTAAATGAAGGCGCATGTGTGTTCTTTGAAGTAAAATATGTTGGCTGAATCATTTTTTGAAGGCGTATATTTCTTGCAGTGTAACCTTGTATCTGGATCCATTTAGCCTATAATAGCAGTGTTATTTGTTTTTAGTTCTAGAGTATGGATATTTTGTGCTTTTTATGCTGTAATATATATTTATTTTGTCCATTCAACTATGCACTAGTATACATATTTCTTAAAGTGTGTTGCCAACTAAGAAAACAGCAAGGAGGGCTCTAAGTATGTGGTGCTTTAGGATTAGCTATTTATATTATTTGTATTGCTGGAAAAGAGTCATATGCTGTAATTTCTTTGCTTGCATAGGTGCACACCCTAATCAAGCATAAAACACTTTTTTCGTCTGAAACCTTCAAGCGCCCTTGGCAAAAATCACATGCCAGGCGCCTGTGCAAATGTGAAACACTATGCTTTAAAACAAAATATAAGAAGCAAACAATAGCGCTGAATGGAATACAAATCATTAGGGAGTACTCTAAGAAGTTCACTGTTAAAATATTCTGTTATGGAGAGAATCAGCATCTGGGAGTTCAATGAGTGGAATGCCATTTGGATGACCATGCTATCCTCTGCCCGAATGATATCCTTTTTTGCTATTACAACCATTATTTCTGTTTGCTCTCTTGGCTTTATTATTATTCGAAAAAGATCATTCACACAAAAGGACACACTGTGCGCGTTTATCTTTATGGTTGTCTCTATTTTTCTTCTGGATAGCGTGCAGACCATGCGCAAGATTGAGATTTCTCTGGACAAGTCGTATAAAGACATAGAGATAAAGATTCCCTTTTCGTCCTTTTTTCTGAATACGCCTATTAACAGGCAGAAGATGTGCTCGACAGACTTCAACAGCCAGCTGGAAAGATCAATAGATGACATACAGCTTGGAGAGAAAGCATCTGCTGCATACAGAAATCTAGTAAGAAACAACGTTCTTCAAAAAAGGCCGCTTGCCGTAGAACAGCTCAACCCAGCACTTAATAACACCAGCGTGGTAAGTTTGCCTGCGTCTGCGCCAATAAACACAGAATACTGCATCTACAAGATGCCAAGCGTAGGTCGACCAGATCCTTCCTGCGTGGGCTGCCAGTTTCTAGAAGAAAAAGAGTTTGCTGAGGCAAGGGAAGATCTGAAATACATTGACAGCGTGAACAGACAGTACCAGGACATAGAAAGAAATCTGGTTGCAGCAAAAGGGAAATACAAGACATATTCTGTTGACCTGATGAACAACTTCAAGACATTTAACAAAGTCTCATACTTTGTGAGAGACGAGTTAGTGGCTGTTGGGATAGACTTCAAATCGATAGAGAACGCAATTCTTGAGCTGATCAACAAATATGAAGCAATATTCTCGGGCTCAGTGCAGAACATCACGAAGCTGCAGGTGGACAGCGACTCCCTCTGCGTCAGCATTAAGAACACAGAAACAAAGCCCTTTTCTTCCAGTACAAGGACAGTAGGAAAGGGCCCCGTACGAAGAAGAACCAGCAAAGTTATTGTTAAAGAACAAGAAACATACCGCCCGAACTCCATGCTTGTTATAAAAAGTGGCCTAGCAGAGGACCCATCACAGCAAACAATTGAGGATGCAATCCATCAGATGGTTCAGAGCAACATCCGAATGCCAGCTGATCTAGTTCCTGCTATCAATGCTGGCACCAGATCGGGTGGAGATGATCCTTTTTTCAGTGCAATGAGGTACACGCTAATTGCAACTGAAGCTCTAATATTTATACAGGTTGTTCTTGTGATGGGAGTGATCTTCTCAATTATATTTGGCATGAATTGGCTATACTTGGCCTTTTACTTCAGCATGTGTGGGTCACTGATCATCAGCCTGATCCTTGGGTTTATTGCCTTTGTAAACTCCACAGCAGTTGACTCTTTGTGTAAAAGTGGGCTCAAATGCAGCATGCAGACCTCCGTAGCCCAGGATGGAGCGGCCATCCCTGTATCCCGTCTGATTGATGTGCCTGAAATGGCGCTGAGAGACTCCGTCACACGATCAACAAACCGCCTGCAGAAACAAATTAACACTGTTCTGACAAGCAACACATTTGAGGAGATCCAGACAATAGCCGGGCAGCTGGACAGGCTGTTCCAAATTAAGAAAGACTTCCCAAATCTGATTGCCTCAAACGCAAATCGCGAGGTTGTAGATAAAGACGCTATATACCAGGCTGCAGATAAAATGAATGCTAGTTTGGATAGCATAAAGTCACTGGATAAACAAATAAGAAACACCGGATGGACTGAAACCTTTAAGAAGCTCTCGCAAGTAAATATTTTGCTCTCAGACACAACATACACAAAAAATATTAAAAAGCGGCAGGCATTGTCTGGGCTCTCTAACGGAACGGTTATTACGAGCGACATGTCTTCCTGTGCAGGGAAAGAGGAGGCAGTCTGCGAATTGAAGCGGCGTTTTGACTCGCTGTTTATTGGGCTGTTTCTTTTTGCTGTTGTGTTGTCTATAGCCATAGCTGCATAATAGGCATAATAGAAAAGCGCACTGTCTAATCATAGACGTTTGGTGGCAGGCTGTAAGAAAGATTCCCATAATTTACTAATAAATTAACCAGATATTTATAATTTGTACATGTGATGTGCACCTTTCTATTCTGCTCTTTGGTAAAAGGCGCATTTGCTTGAAATATTAAGCTGCTCAACTGTGGGCTAAAAGTGATAAAAAAAGATATAATAGATGTCTTGCTCGTATATATGGCTCTAGGTGTATTATGCCTTAGTGTAACCAAACCACTGCTGTGTGTTTACATAGATGTAATTTGCATTTTTATATTTTAAGTATCTGAATATATTGATAAAACTAAAGTCTCTAAAAACATAGTATATACACAGACATGAAGAGGTTAAATATTTTATTTTAAGAGCAAAGCACAGGAAAAACATAAAAACGTGCAAAACCAAAGAACCCATAGGCCAATGAAGTCTCTTGGAAGAAAAACAAAGAATAGACAGCATGAACACAGCCATCAATAACAAAATGCGAATCAGATGCAGAGATGCCTCTTTAGTTATGGTAAGCAAGTTATGTATAACTGTACAGTTTAATAGAGGAGTATTTGCTTACTTAAATCACCATAGTGCATAGAAGGTGCTCGTGTTTCAGAGTATGCATAATCATAGGCTGCTATATGGCTGTATAGCGTAATATTCTTTTTTCATTTTAATTTACACTCTTTACTGAATATTCTTTACATATTATATGCGTATAGCTAGGTGAAAACAATTTCATAGAGAACCAGTGGTTGGGCAAGTTAAATTGTTATATACACAGATTGAAGTATATCTGACAGTGTAAACAGAAATAGTATGGTGATTTACACGGATTTATCTTCTGTTTCAGATGTCTATAGTCCGTAAGTAAATAGACTGCATGCACCATCATATACACGCAATGGCCTATACAAAAAAGAGCAGGCTACACCCAGAGCAACAAAATATTTCCTCAGCACGATTGTATACAGCAAAGATAGAATAGAAGTGTATATTACGTACCTATCTCTGCAGACACATTCTACTGCACAATTGGCATTCTTGTTAGATATAGTAAAAATTTTCAGAACTAGCACAGAGAATGGAAAACAACGAAAACCCATTTAACATAGACCCAAAGCAACAGAAAAAGTATGAGGCAAGAAAGAGAGCTGAGGAAATCAAAGAACTTGAGGCAAAGTACCAAGATGACCTATCCTCATACACGGAGACAGAGGAAGAGATGGAGTATGTAGAAAGCGAAGAAGAGAACATTGCAATCCAGGAGGTTATAGAGAAAATAAAAAGAAAGGATCCAGAAATATACGATGGGGAGAAAAATCTGTTTGAGGAGCTAAAGCAGAGCCACAAAGGAGCTGAGTCTGGTGCGCAAACAAAAACATCTAGAGAAGCCTCGTACAGACTCAAGGACTACTACAGAGAGCAGACGCTGGACAAAATGCAGAAAGAAAAAGAGGGCAGTGATGAAGAGCAGCAGTCAAACCCAGAGGAAGCGACAGACTCAGAGGACCACCAAGAGGAAAGCACAGAGAAGGACAGAAGGCACGAGAGAATAAAGAGAAAGGCAGAGTACAGTGAAGAGCAGAAGAAAAACATAAAAGACTTTATATCCGCATTAAACAAAGTAGACACAACCGACGATCTTTTCCAGAAAAAGAAGGAGGAGGAAGTAGAGGAGGAGAACCAAGACGAATTCCTGACAGACTACATTCTAAAAGGAGGCTGGCAGAAAGAGGAGGAAGCCAAAGATGATGGGGATATAAAATTCCTGGAGGAGGACAGCGAGGAAATTGAGCTAATTGAAGAGTTTGATAAAGAAACAATGCCAACTGCACAGGGGAAGTTCGCCACTGTCAAAAAAGCATCACAGAAAAGGAAGAGAAAGGAGCTCAAAAAGAAGCTTCGAAACCGAGAGGAGGAGAAAACAAAGCAGGAGGAGATAAAGAGGCTGAAGAATCTGAAAAAGCAGCAGTTTGCAGATCGGCTGGCAATTCTAAGAAGCGTGTCTGGGCTGAGCAAAAGGCAGGCATCAAAAATAAAACTTGAGGAGGTCTATAATAAAAAGGAGTTTGACAAAACAATGGAAAGCCTTTTTGGAGAGGAGTACTTCAAGAAAAAGGAAGAGGAGCGGCCTAAGATCAAGGGATACGAGGCAGAAGCGCAGGAGCTGAAACAGCTGGAGGATTTGGCAGAGAAAGCAGAAATGCAGCAGGACAGAACATCAATGAGCGAAATTAAGAAGATTCTCTCTGAGATAAAGGAGATAGGAAAGGAGTATGCATCTCTTAAAAAGCAAGGCGACTTTGAGTATGTAGAAATGCCAACGGTAAATATAGGGCTGACAACACGGGAGATTCTTCTGGCAGACGACAAGTTCCTTAAAAGAAACTATTCTATAAAGAACTATGCGCCCTTTAAAGACAAATATGAAAGAAGGTAGCCATGCAAGTAGAAAAAAGAAGTAGTCAAATAAATAAATATAGAACTTACTAATATAGATAGACTTTCCTACTTATCAAGTCAAGCTTCAATTGATGCACATAAGAAATACTGCCAAGAGCAGATAAACTATGCCACAATATAGCCAAATGCACAGAAATAAGAAAGCACATTAGTGTCTATATAATCACTTGAGCCTAGAAAAATATGCACTATGTTGTGGTGATGCAATGAAGATGTATTTCGAGGATCTGCAGCAAATGGCTGTGTCTATTGGTTCTTTCATCGAACTAATACTAGAGAGATAAAGAGATTTGTATCAAATTTCGATTGGTTCGCGAATTGGTCTATAGAAAGGAGATATTTTGAAACGATTTCATACATTTCAAAAGATGCAAGAGCCTATGACAGAAAATAGCAATGTACCCTCTAGAGTGCTTATGGTTGATAGCCCTTTAGCCACGCCAGATTTTAGAGCATACAGAATACGCCAGCTAATTGACGGGGTAACACAGACCTCTTTTGTGCGAGTTCTGTCTATTCTATCAGTGGCCTTCAAGCTATTGCAGATAGGAATAAACGTGACTGCGCTTTTTCTTACACGAAATAGCGAAACGCAGACTCCGTTTAAGCTGTTCATTATTGTGTACACAGCTCTAATAGCAGCACACACAACTTCTTTTGTAATTAGACATAAGAGATACATATTCAACCAGGAGCCCCTGGAATTCTCGCAGAGCGCAGAGTCCACTCTGTTCAACAATCTGCTGGATATTCTAACGCTTTTCCTGTACTTTATTGGATTCAAGTGGCTGCAGCAGTACCAGTCCTCAAAGGATGACATTCCCATTCTGTATAATCTAACACGGATTTGGGTCTTTTATGGAATTGCTATTGTGCTTGCCCCAATCTTCTCGGTTATTCTAATCCTTTTGCTGCTAAACTATGTGCGCCCCACGCTGCCTGTAATTGAGTATGCAGTGGGCGGGAAAATAAAGGAGGAAGACGCGCAGTGTACAATATGCTTGGCCCCCTATGCAGAGAAGGAGCAGATCAGAAAGCTTCCCTGTAAGCACCACTTTCACATGACATGCATTGACGAGTGGTTTGGAATAGACGATGTCTGCCCTCTTTGCAAAAGACCAATTAACCCGCTGTATGACATAGCAGGCAGTTCTCTTTAGTTTCAAAAAGCGCAGTGCTCTTCCTGGAAGCACACACTTTGCATAGGAGCGGGAAAGACTGGCATAAGCATAGTCTTACAAACCAACACGCCTTTGCAGAGAAGCCTTCTGTCTGGGCGCCTAAGCTAGAAAATAGCCAGATTTAATTAACAGAACTTTTTTAGAAATGGAAAGACTCTCTGTTGTAGAGTACTTGGCTATGCGCTACTTGAATGAAAGAGAGTCAAAGAGGCTGCTTCCGTATGATGAAGACCTTATGGACAGAGTGAAGTTTCTTCTGCACAGGCAGAAAAAGAGACAGCGAGAGGAGACACAAAGAAATAGAATAAAAGAGCACATTTATAAGATAGAAGCAGATCGAATAGAGTGGCTTATATCTGAGTATCTTCTGATGCGTCTGGAGAAAATAAGAAACAACTTCTACATAGAGGACTTGTCGCTTCTCTCTCCATACGAGAAAACCTACTACCAAGAGTACATTAATCTTAACAAAGAGGCAGGAACATACACAGAGCTGGAGCAAATCCCCGCAAGGCACAGACACCCAAAGGATCCGGCAGAGATACACGGGGTGTACATTCTAGACGATGTGCAGGATGTTTTGATTGGGGAAGAGATTCTAACACTGCAGGCAGGGGAGTTTCTCATTGGAGACATCGCAGGTTCGCAGGACTTGGTAAATGATCTGGGGGTCCTTTTGATATAGAGCGCAAGTGATCAGTTTTAAATAAAAATACGTTATGGTATAGAATTAAAAGTCAAAAACAGTGAAAAAGGCTTATATTTAAACAAGACTAAGACGATCGAATTGTTTCATCCTCAAAAGAGTACTCAATGAACTGTTCTGACTCATCTATGTCTTTTTCCTTGAAAATTCTGCGCTCGCGCAGCCGGCTCCACATTTCTTCATTTGTTTCATCTGCAGTCTCTGACATAAGTGATTTCATGGTTTGGAGGTTCTGTACAGCCGGGCGCGCTTCAATTCCTCTGATATTCTCCAAAACCTCTTCATATATTTTCTCTATATACTGCTTTGTGTTTTGATTATCCATCGACATGGGAAGTATCTCCAGCGTGTAGTTTGGATGATAATGATCAAAGTATTCAGTGTACGGCAGCTCGCTGGGCACGTCCACATTGGCTAGAATTGCTGTTTCATACGCCCACACACGAGAGACATTTGAAATTGTGTAGCCTCCGCCTCCCAGCACAAGAAGTGGAATGTTTAGAGACTTAACAAACTCAACACACCCAGCATGCCCTTTGTGCGTCAGGTTAAAGCACCCAAGACGGTCTCCTGCAAGAGAGTCAGCACCGCACTGCAGAACTATCACATCAGGCCGGTATTTCTCAACAGCAGCGCCAACCACAGGCTTGAATATGGACAGATACGTGTTGTCATCAATTCCCGAGTTGAGCGGTATGTTAATGCTGTATCCCCGGCCCTTTTCAATTCCTACGTCAGTCACTGCTCCTGTCCCTGGGAAGAACTCTCCATGCATGTGGAAGGAAATAGTCATCACTCGGTCGCTGCAGTAGAATGCCTCCTCAACTCCATCTCCATGGTGCACATCTATGTCGATGTACATGACTCTTTCGTGGTACCGAAGCAGCTCCAGAATTCCCAGCACAATATCATTCACGTAGCAGAACCCAGAGGCCTCTCTTCTCTTTGCATGGTGCAGTCCGCCGGACCAGTTAATTGACACATCAGACAGACCTTCGTTTATGTGGGCTGCGCCCTGAATCGAACCTCCGGCTGTCTTTTGGCAGTACTCGTACACTCCTTCGAAAACAGGACAGTCTTCTATCATGTTGTACCTAGAAAGCTCCTTCTCCTTTGTGTCTGCGTTCTCTTTTCTAATGTTCTGCAGAAACTCAATGTAATCGTCCGAGTGGAACCGGGTCAGATCTTCAAATGATGCAGCCATGGGCGAATACACATTCAGCCTCTTAAAAACAGAGTAGTTCATTATTAGAGAGTGCGTGAGTCTGATTCGGTGGGGCTTCATTGGGTGCCCAGGCGCATATTTGTAGTTTCCAATCTCTTGATCGTAGAAGTAAGAAATCTTCCTCATCCCTTCAAAAAGAAAAAGACATAAATAATATACTAATCGAAATAATTAATGATCATATGGACATGCCAAAATACAGACATAAATAGACACAAAACACAAGAAATATCAAAGATAGGCGCTGTTTTGCTGGAATTTACAGTTTGCCTGTATTTCTATAGGAAAATTCTTGCAAAAATTATAATGGGCCGGTGGTACACAAACATTATTAAAAGAAGAACGCATGTTACACGAAGCGAGGCACTTATATGCCTAAGCGTGGCGGAAGACGAGTTTGACAGGTTCTGTGTGCTGACAGACACGCACCCATTCATTGCTTCAAAGGAGGATCTGACCAATAAAAGCACGAAAATACAGTATAAGCTAGCGGACATCCACAGAATACGAGAGTCAGAGCCGTACCAGAAAATGAAGCTGAAAAAAGAAAATGCAAAGCGGCGGTGCAACTATAGAGATACAGGGAGAGAGTACAAGCTGGACTATTTGTTAGATGAAAAGATAGACTATGGCAGAATACTGCTGAGCAAGTACCCGTCCTTTGATGACATATATGAAGACCTAGGGGAGGCTGTGACGAGTCTTATAATTACAGAGCGGCTGATCAGAGACAAGAAAAGAGCAAATCTATGCATACGGTTTGAGTCCGACATAATTACAAAGATATACAGAGAGCTTTCTCTCTTCTACCTCTACCTAATGATACACAGAAACTCGTATAAAGTCTTCATAGGAAAGGAAGGAATCTACTACAGCACAGAAATCAGCGGGAGTGAAATATTCTGGAAAGAAAGCTATCCCTTGGCAGATCCAGAGGACTCTTTGGGAATAAACTACAATGCAATAGTCCAGACAGCCGAGTTTAACGCATACCTCTTGGAGAAGGTAAACTTTAGACTGTTCAAGTCAATTGGAGAAGAGTATTTTGTAGAGTACATTCGCTCACTCAGAAAGAGGTACACAGACTTCATTGAGTACATTCCAGTTGAAATACAGAATGCAAAAGAGAATTTGCGTGAGAACAATGAGTACATGCTTGAGGAACACTTAAAACCCAAGGAAAAAGAGCCAACAACTGGAAGGTCGTTAAAGGATGAGGATGCAGAAAGAGAAGAATTTGTGCAGGAAAGAGATCCTGGTGCATTCGGTCCAATAGATATACTCAGCGAGTTCAAGAGGATACCAAAGGGCCTGCTTAGTGCCATTACAACAGAAAACAAGGGGATTTTCTGCGGAGAGAAGGTCTTTCTGTGCAGCAGCACAAACACATTAGAGCACTCGCTTACTATGCTGATAATATCAGGAGGAGGAGACATAGTCAAAAGCGCAGAAGAAAGCACTCTTTACCTGTGCAGTGTAATTCCGCAGAACTTCAGGGCAGAGTACAACTATGCACACCCGCAGATAATCTATGACAGCTGTAATTTGGAGATTCTGCAGTCGCACTCTCTATATAGGCCAGGGCAAAGCATACCGCAGCATGTCAGCCCGTATAAATCTATGCTAAAGACAACCGATCTGGACACCTTCAATATTTCGCATAAGAAGAAGAGTACAATAGAGTCTATTATAAACCACAGAAAATAATTATAGAAGAAAATAAATTGTCTGAAGAACCCGTCTATATTTGGCTCTTTACAGCCTGAGTGTTCATTAAATATTTAATATGCGAATATATTTGTTTCTCACTTGCATAGACACAGTCTATCTGTGTTATGGGCCTTAAGAAATATCAGTCTGCATACAAAGAGATATCGATGCATCCTTTCACATACACTTGGAGAATTCAGCGTATAAACCAGGCACAAAGTTCTCAGAGAAGAGGGTTTCCTTTGTGTCATGTGACTAATAAAAAGCACTCAATCTGAAGAGATTATCTACATTTACACTCTATTCTATTACAATTATCTTTTATTTAAGTGAGTGCTTGGTGGCTATGAAATCTACATGTTGTTGCTAAGAAGATCTCCTTCATAGACATCAGGCTCAACCTTACGCGTATGCTGGAATTTAAGGCCATCTCCTTGGGTTGACCAGCTGGGAATAAACCACATATACCAACGCTCTCCCATGATTATCTTCCAGTTCTGATAATATCCCATGTTGTAGGATATATTTGTATTTTCTGCAGGGTATTTTCTCTCCTGCGGGGTTTGATTGATGCATATGGAGTACACTCCTTCTGCCAAGTACCAGACAGTGAATAACAAAGCAATTACCTGCATTGTAATTCCTACTACAATTGGAGCAAGTGTTTCTCTTTTTGTCCCTGGAGTGGCTATAGACTGAATGAAGCACCCAAGGCCAACTAGATCCAGAAGGAGAAGGTAGAATAAGAAGACAATGTAGAATTTGTAGTTTGTAAACCCAATGCATAGATCAAACCAGACTAGGTGCTTGTACATAAGAAGCATGCAGTGGTCGCACTTGTCGCAGTGATAGCTGCGCATAGGCTGCGAAGTATTACACTTCTCACATATGTTCATTTCGTGTCTGTATGCAAAGATGTGCTCCTTCTCAAAGGGATTGATGCTCATGCTGCTATCATCCGAGTCACTGTCTTTGCCAACTATCTCTGGGAAAAGCTCTAGTGTCGTGCAGTTCTTTGAGATGGTCATTCTCAGGAAGGAGAATCCCACTAGAAGGATAAGTATCTGATAGACGATGAATATGCAAAGGGTTGCAACTGAGACACTATCAAGCATTTCTAGTGAATATACTGTGTTATATGCAAAGAAGATGTATATTCCCATAAATAGCACTAGTGTTCTTTGTATTGCTACCCATAAAGTCTGCCAGACTTCACTCCATTTAAACATAAATAACCAAACAACTCGTTTTTTTATCCATGAAAAGCTTGCAGTCACGGAAGAGAAAGCTTCAGTTTGATGAAGATGCGAAAAAACATGAAGCAATTAAATACGGAGTAAAGCCCACTGAGTGCTCATACTGCAGTGTCCGTCTGCGAATTACAAACACATTTGGCTGCAAGTGCAAAAGAGTGTTCTGCGCAAAGCATCGGTACTCAGACGAGCACAGGTGCACATATGACTATAAAACAGAGAATATGATCCGTCTTGAGAAAGAGAATCCTAAAATAGCACCATCCAGAATATCCAATGCATAGCCGGCTAGACTTAGTTTTCTATCCAGAGCAAGAAAATGCATCTGAAAGTAGAAATAGCAAATTTTACACGAGAATTTTCATGGAGTATTTTAGAAAAGTGCAGACCACTGAGCTGGACGGAATGCCGTGGAATGAAAAACAGGAGGTGGCAGAAAAAGTGGTTGGAATCGTAAAGGATGCTGTAAATGAGATAATACATGTAAATAGCCAGGCAAAGAAGCTGGAGCTCTTTATACGATATTTATCAGTTGAGTCACTTTCGGATCTAGTAGAAAAGGTGAAGATTACAGACGTACACAACAAAAATATAACATATGTGCTTGAGGCAATACTGAAGAAAATAGAACAGCAGAAAGTACTGACACCCCCGTATAAAGTGCTTATAGAAACTGTCAATGCAAGAATACAGAAGAATATAATGAAGTCTCTTAAGAGCAAAGGCACAAATCACATGATTAGAGTTCTGCTGAAAGTGGGTCATGACACAGAAGGTCTTCTAGAGGCTATAAAGAATGTGCCAATTGACTACATTTTGGAAGATTCTACGCGAACAGCCACCTTTGCAGAGTATATGTCGTGCGTAAGTGAAGAGGAGAGAGAAAGAGTGGTTAAGTACTTAATTAAAGTCTTAACAGTTGACCGTCTTAAGGGGTATACTTCTTTCTTATATGAAAAAGTATGCCGGGCAGCAAGTCCTGCACAACTGGATGAAATATTCCAGATTATTAAGCCAGATGTGCTTGAACTGTGCCAGAATGAGGTAGGAAACTACTTCATGCAGGTATTTATCTCTGTCTATAATCCGCGCAAGATATACCCTCTTCTTGAGAAGCATGTTCATACTTTCCAGATTAACAGTAATGTTATGCACTCTCTGCTCAGCCAGGCAGCACGCCATGAGTGTGCAGGCATCTTGGAGAGCATTATGGAGCGACTTTTTACCATAGACACTGTTATGCACACTCTTCTGTTCCATTCAATGGGCGGATTTGACTCCAAAGGGTACAAGCTAGCACTGAAGCTTATGGGCGCAAAGACAAAGTACCAGGAAGCACTTCAGATGCAGTGCGTTGCTCTTTATGAAAGATACTGGCTATTCAACAAAGTAGGACAGGAGGTGCTTATATCCCTGCTTAGGTGCAAAAATCTATCTAGAGAGGTTGTCGCATTGCTCACTAGCACAATGACCAAGGAGTTCATAGGAATACATGAGAGCAAAGGAGGAGATGCCCTTTTGGATGCAATTGAGTCTGTTGCAGATAGAGAGACATGCAATAAGATCCAAATAGTGCGAAAAAGAGACAGAACATCAGTGCACACTGGTTCTCGTAGAATGCACGCGTCTGAAAGGAGCAACCAGTAAACTCAATGGAATCTTGTGGTACCGTATACTAATGTAGTATCTAGGGGATTAAACCAGTTGGCTCTTCGTATATTTATTGAAGCAATAAGCTCTGCTTGCACAGTAAGTCTTTGAAATAGCGCACAGTAAGTCTGTGCTTTCTGTTGGCTGCAAAAAGTCTCTTTTCTTCTAAGTGAACTAAACCTTCTGTGGAGTGAAAAATAAATTATATTCATAGTTATAGTCTGCTCTTGCGCCAATGAAGATAAACTTGCCTTATACTCACTTGCTCAGATCGCAGGCAGCTGACTCTATACTCTGTAAGACATACTAGTACTTTCTATTTCTTAATAAAAATACACTTTGGACTGTCTTTCCACTATAAACACCTGAATATATATCTATATACTATACAAGACTGTCTTTTTGTAGACTGTCTTTTTATAGAAATATTATATGCTTGTAGACTATTGCTTCTAATTATTTATTTTTATGCTGTATTTACATACATTTATGATATCACATTGATCTAAGCACATGAATGAATATTAGACAGAATCATTAAGATGAGTAAATATTATTAATATATGCTACAAAGTAATGCAGTAGATAAAATGAAGAACCAGGATAATATGTTGAATATATCCAAACCAAAGTGCAATAACTCTAGTCCTTTGTACTGCTAGCACAGGAGAAAAATAAAAGATATTTTAGCAAAGAAACCCACAGACAGCCATGCACTGTGCACTAATTAGATAGTTAATTAATATTTGCTTTCTACTGAAAATACATTAAGACTTCTATAGATATACATGTATATCACGAGATAATTAAGTATATGTGATATTGAATGGGTGCTAGCTAGAATATTAATGTGTTCCTTCAGTACTGACCATAAGAGACAAAAATGTAAATTAACCAGAATATTCAATTTTTAAGGGAAGCAGACAGGTTCATTATAATGCTTTTCTATGCACAAATTCTCAGTAGATATAAATAATCTGTGTCTTATCATTGCAGACTGAAATATAAAAGAACACATATTTAAATACTTCTAATTCTATATAAGCAAGAAATAGACCGTTATTAAAAATTTCATTTAAAATAGAAAAAAAAATTTACGTCATTATATGATGCATGGGAAAGACAAGAAAACTTTTAGCTTAAAACAAAGTAAGAAGGAGTTTGATGATGCCCCCACACTGATCCAGCTAGAGCCAGAGTCACTCGATGATATGTTTGCAATATTTTCTGAGGAAAAGAAGAATCCAACCATGCAAGATACTACTTTAGAGAAAGAAGCAGAAAATCAGATGACTTTTTCGTCTTTTATAACTACAGTTAAGCAAAAGTTGACTTTTGCACCCACTGTGCTAGTTGATATATCAGAGCCTACAGAAGGAGAAACTTCAAATGCAAAGACAGACCTGATGACTGGTTGTATGGATGGCTTTGATATTGGTGGCCAAGAGAATTCTGGTGGCTCAGTCAACACAGAGGGTTTTGCAGATTCAGATGAAACCCTAGAAAACAACCCAAAGAACTTTTTTGAAAGAATGACATCTCCTTTTAACGGGTTTTCAGATTACATGTACAAGCAAACCCCTCTAAGCTATCCTGCACGCAATATAAACAAGATTGAAAAGTTATTTAGTGTAGAACAAAAATTACTTAATGGAGTTTTAATAGTGGTTTTAGCCCTGCTGCTTGAGGTGTTTATATATCTTGCCTTTAAATTGCGAAAATACGTGCTGTTTGGTCTGATGGGTCTTATGTTTGTTCGGTATCTCTGGAAGAAAACCTTGAAGGATGGTTTAATTATGGCCTGTAGCTCACTTATGCTTATTAGTGTGATTCTTATAGGTATACTAGATATGATTGCATACGTTTTAACTGGAATATATGTTTTTGTAGGAGTCTCTTGGGTAGAAAGATCAAAGAGAAAGATTTACTTCAGTGATATTATAGTTCTTACACTCGTGTGGATTTCAAGTGTTTCCTTATTTATGCTTGACAGGTGGGTGGATTTAGCAGCAACTAGAATTGATATTTTCACGGCCCTATGCTTTGCACTGTGGATATCCATTATATTCAATGCAGGAATCCTTCGGTCGATATTCTTATGGATAAAAGAGGCAGTTACTAAAACTTCAAAGAATGAACAGAAGCAGGAAAAGAAGGAAAAGCAAAAACAAGAACACCATATAGTCACACTGCAAGAACAAGAAGATCCTTCAGAGACTAGTGCATCTAGTGAGCTAGTCAATGCATTCATATTCTCTAAGTTCTGGATACTAGCATTCTTATGTATAGCCATTTCTACTGCAGGTCTAATTGTAGGCACACACTGTCTATCAGAAAAGACAGCTGTTCTAGCAAAGAATGCAATAAAAAGGATATTCTTTTGCAAGAATATAGAGGCAGTGAATTAACAATAAAATATACGAAATATTAATAAAGTTCTTCAAAATATCACATAACTTCCATTGTACTGCAGTAGTAAATAGTAAAATACTTGCTTAGTACAAGATATTCTCATAAAAATATACTATTAGCCATATGATGGTAAATATGTATATAAAATGTATTTGTATGCTTATATTCTAAAGCTCTCTTATAGACTAGATCCTACAAGTCACCAGTGAATTTCAATTTCACCCAAAGAGGTTTCTTCTATAGAATATACTCAGTAGAAGTAGAAGAATATTTATTTCGACATAAATATTGCACCAAGTTAATGGTGGTGCACTACATGCCTTTAGGGCCCATTTTAAATCTACTAGAATAGTTTTCAGGTAATATTTGCACCTGAATAAAATAAAACAAAGAGAAAAGCAAAGAGTATCCTTGATTTCAATGGCTTACTGGTGCTGCACCTGGATTTAAAGACTATTTTCTTTGTGTATAAGTGTTCCTAGACAAGTAAAACCTGCAAAAATATCCTGAAATAATTTCTATCGATAAGAAAGATCAGTTATAAAAAAGTTATAATGAATTATTTTTTATTCCATCTATGCCGCTTTTATACTCGTTCGATATGAAGCAATGCTTTGCAAAGATGTGCTCTGCAGAGAAACTGGTGAAACAGAAAATTGTAAAGGTGCTCCAGCCAACTAGAAGGTTTGGAGGGCTTGTTCTTAGCCCAGTGGGCACAAAGACTGTCTCGCCTCCAGACAGAAAATACATTGATAAATACGGCCTGGCTGTGGTTGATTGCTCCTGGAATAAAGTTGATCAAGTTGACTTTACCACACTGCCGTCAATGAGAAACAGGCTCCTTCCCTACTTAGTTGCTGCTAATACAGTTAACTACGGGAGGCCATGCAGACTAAACTGTGCAGAAGCATTTGGGGCTGCCTTATACATATGCGGGTACAAAGAGGATGCAGAGAAAATACTTGAGCCATTCCCATACGGCCCAGAATTTCTCAAGATAAACAGTGATCTTCTTGAGGCGTACTCAAAGTGCGAAAGTGCAGAAGACGTTATTACAGTACAAAATACGTATATTTCTGCAGGAAAAAATAAAGAATGAAAAAATGT